TTAGCAGCTAGCAGTTAACAATATTCAATTGAGACCTTTTACTATTTCAAATTGCTGACCTTTTACTAACAGTAGCATAAATTCCCTAACACATCCTCATATTTCAAATTCCCTAACACATCCTCATATCCTCATTGGAGCTATTGTTCTTGAGATGTATGTTGTCAAATTCCCTAACATATCCTCACATTTCAAATTACTAACAATATGTTGTCATTGTTCTTGAGATGTATGTTGTCAAATTCCCTAACACATCCTCATATTTCAAATTACTAACAGTATGCTGTCACAATTCAACCCCAAATTACTAACAGTATGATAACACTTACATTGTCTTTTGGAATATGTGCCTTTCACTAAAAAGATATGTCTTGTATGGTGAAATGATAATTCCATAGATATGAGATAGTAAATGTATCATGATAATATTCTGATATAAGTAATGTTTATTTTAGGAATCTCCATGGTTTGTCCTCTACTTTGGTCCTGCTATATGTAAGTAATATTTTATACTATTTTAATCATTTTCAGGACAAGGTTTCATGGGATCCTCAATATGAAATGTTTGTCAGGAAAGCCTTTTATTCAAAGGCAGCCATTCGACTAAATGACATAATGAGGAAGGTGAGGTTAAAATGGCTTATGAGGAAGGTGAGGATGCCTGGAATGAGCTTGAAACTTATTGGAAGAGTGATCCGTTCTTGAAATTGTCCTCTCAAAACAAGGCCATTTGAAGTTCAGCAAGAGGAGGAGCAGTCCACACCTCGGGTCGTAAGGATCATGTTGATGTAGCGCTTGAGCTTGTAAGTAATAAAGTCGATTTTTATTTCAATCTTTATTATTTATAATATCAAATTTACTTTAATTTGTATTTGTAGACCCAAGAACTTCAAAGGGATATACGCCCTGATGAGTTATTTTTAAAGACCCATAAGAGGAAAAGTGGAGCATGGGTTGATCATCATGTTGAGTCTACATACGTAAGTTTTAATTAATTATGAACTTAATTTCAATTGGTGTATTCCTACCAAAAACAAATAAATAAGAATCCTTGGTTATATATGAAATTAATTTCAACTGATGTCGAGAGGTTAGATGGAGGGACAGTTTTTAAATTAGGAAATGTGAGCTCAGCACCAATTGTAATGTTTACAGAAGCATAGTAATTCTGACCCGTTAAAGCCTGACATGTTGTGAGGCTTTGGTAAGTTTCATTTACCAATTGAAAGCAGGTATCACCTTTTTTGACAGTATAAGGGGTGTTATGTTGATTGAAGCAATGGTTGATGCTTCAGAACCAAGAAGGTATGCAATAGTTATAGGACTGTCATAAGGAGGTTTGGAAACAGAAATAATTGTTGACAGATGACTGAGTAAGGAAACAGAAATAAGAGAAGGATTGTTGTGGAGAGAAACTCCATGAGTTTGAGATCCAAGGCATTGATTAATTACCTATGTTTTTCTTTAATGATTTGTATGAGTCAAAGTTGCAATAAATTGAAATTTTAGTAAAGTCATTAGTTATTGAAATGTTGTACTAACTCATGCAGGCACAATAACTCTTGTATAACTCATGCAGGCACAATAAGAATCCTATATTTAGAAATGACTCCTTTTTCTGTTTTACAGTCCACTTTTAAGGAAAAAGCTGGAGATGATGTCGAGAGGTTAGATGGAGGGACCGTTTTTAAATTATGGACATATTCTGTTGGGAGTCGTAGTCATGGTCGGGTTTATGGAACAGTGGATTTAGCTATCAATCTGAAGCATGGATCTACATCCTTTATCCAACAACCTCAAAATTCTCGCGGATCTATGTTTGGGACATCCTTTGAATCCGAGAGAGCGTCTAGAATTAGAGCTGAACAATTGGCTGCAGCTACATCAGCTCGACTCGAAGAGGCTACCAAAGCTATTCAGGCGTCAAATGAGATTTCTCGGAAGGCAGCAGAACAATATCAAGCGTCTAACGAGTTTGCTAAGAAGATGGAGTCTGAACTGAATGCTTTGAATGCATTTATCATGCAGAAGCTTGACCCTACAAATGGTCAATCTGCCAGTGTTGTCATTCGATCGTCAAATCCTCACTATGATGATGATTTAGATGACCAATCATTAAGTGAAGATTGATCATGCAGTGTTAGTAGAAGTAGTCTCGGATGTAAATTTTTTTGGACATGATTTTCAATGTATTCTGAGTTTTTGGGGTTGTTTTTTGTTATAGCTATGACTACTTTTTTTGTTGTTGTTTCAATCTATGTAATATTTTGATAACTCTTAATTCATATGTGTTATATGTTTTGATAAATTATTTATGATCTTGATAAATTGATTGAAGGAGAACACGTCATGACATAATTGTCATTATTGGAAAACATGGTCAGCATGTATAGATTATACAATTGGAAAGCAAGCATAATTTTGTTGACTTTTACAATTTGACTTTAGCCTCGGTTAGGCCAAAGTTAAATATTTTGTTGACTTATAAAGTTTGAACTTAGCCTCGAATAAATCAAGGAAAAATGTTCCTTTAGCCTCGACCAGGCCCAAGGCTAAATATTATGTTGGCTTATGGAGTTTGACTTTATCCTCGGTCAGGCCCAGTCTATTTTTTGTTTTTTGACACAGCTTAACCGAGGCTAATGTAGACACGGCTAAACCGAGACTACTGTAGACACGACTCTTTTTTGCCAAAGCTAATTGTTAGCTTCGATCGTTTTAGCCTTTCCCCGACACCGACGCTACGCCGAGGCTAATTGGCTAGTAGCGGCGGTTTTTTGCCTTATAGTGTCGGAAAATGGCCGAGGCTAAATATTGTATTTCTAGTAGTGCAAGGAGAACCAGAGAGCACCCTCCTGCCCTTGACACACACATCCACTTGTGCCCGGGGCACTCATTCCTGCGTCCTCGGGGCATTCCAAGTCCTTTCCAGTTCTCCCCGGGATACTCATCGCAAGCCCCGGGGACCTATGGTTTCTACCCTATTTTTGAAGGATCCTCCAGCGTACTCGCCGAAAAAACCTGCGATATCCCCAGCGGAGCCTCCAGAAACACCGCCACAAACAACGGAAAACACAAAGAAGGGTGCAGAATCTTAATTGATAGGAATGAAAGGTTGCTGTCGGGCAGAAAAACCAGATGTCGGGAAAAAGCGATTGAAAGTCTCAAGCAGAAATTCCTGGTCGAATGAGAAGATACAAAGAAGCGAATGGGAGAAAAGATGAGTCAGGTCAAAGTATATATACCCCTAGCACGAGAAATGAAACGTCGCTAGGCCCTCAAGTGCCTAGCCCATAATTGTCACAATAAGACACTTGGCAACCCTCCATCTTCCTTGCGTCTCCTCATATTCTCCCCCGACCTCAAATCCGTCACGTCTTTTACTCGTCTAGCCGACGAATCGCATCTTGCCCGACACCATCTCCTCATCTTTCCTGACAAGCCTCTGCACCCGAAACCATCTTCGCGTCCTACTGGACAGATTTACGCGCCCGACGCCATTCTCAGCTCAAGTCATAGCTCGCCTGACCGCAAACAACGACTTGGGGGGCTACTGTTCTGGACTGGGCTGACGCTTATTCACTGTCGGGAAGGCCCAAAGCCCACTAGGAGTAGGCCCAATAGGCCAACTTCTTTCGTCCAGGTCCCTCGCATCCGACCAGCCAGCTTCAGTCTCCCCCATCGTCGGACAAGACCCTCACATCCGACCAGCCAGCCTCTGTCTGTCCGGGGAGCTCCTTGGTCCTTCTCCCATGTTCTCCACGTGTCCCTCACGTAGGGACACGTCATCAAGTAACTACCCACGTGCTAGAGATTCGGTCTTCCTCCTCCCGGATAGTGTGGAACAGTTACCCTAGAGTGAAGACCACGTGTTGGTCTTCACGACGCCACGTCAGCCCTAGCAGTTACTTACATTGGGCCTGGCAGCCCCGCCCAGTGCTAGATAATTGTTGGCCCTGCACTGGGGGATCACTATAAATACCCTCTTCACTAGAGGGTTAGGTAACTTAATTCCCTCTCTCTTTCTCTCTGTACATTCTCCCGCTCCGCTCGTCACTTAATTTGGCATCGGAGTGTGTTTCAGGTACACCCCACTCCTCTCCTCAACACTTTGGTGAACAGTTTCCAGATCAACGACGCGTGGCAGATAATTGATCCCTTTCTGGTCAGGTACGATCATATAGCATTATGATTGTTTATTTTGACTGTGATTATATGTAATTTTAAAATATAAAAGACGATAAATGAACATAAATTACTTCAATTGATTATGTGACCGTAGTAAAAAATAATTACGAAATATATTTTTTTAGTAATGAAAGTCCTTGCCGATATTTTCACCAAAACACTTTATTTTGGTCCTTTTCATACTCTATTAAGATTGAATAACATCCCCTCCAATTTGAGGAGGGTGTTAAATATAGTCCAAAGACCAAGTTGCTGATATCTTCCTTCAACCCTTTTCTTCCCAATTTGGTTGAGAATTGTTTTCTAGTTATGGGCTCATAGGACCCAAGTTAACACTACCTACTAGAGAAATTGTACAAAAGATAACTCTAATTAAATTTTCTTTTACGGGAGGTATCTCTAATTAATCTCTAATTAACGTTCATTGATCAATACGTTTTTTATATATTAACAATGCATGAAAGGAATCAGCTAGTATTTACACTGAAACGAAAATGTAAAAAAAAAAAAAAAAAGTAGATCAAATACACTAGGCAGTCTTTAGTTATATCATGATTGAACATAATGAGGGAGTGGATCATTAAATCTCTAATTATCCACAATTGTTCAAATAAAACATATTCTTCATAACATTATTATGTTTTCAAAGATTTTATTTAAATTTTTTTTTTATCCTCTGATTCCCAGAAGAATAAGACCCTACTAATCTTGAGTTCAAATAAAGAGGTTATAGATCTGGCCAAACATTATTCTCGATAAAAGATTTTTTATTTTTTTTTGGCACCCTTAGCAGTTACCTATTTTATATTTTATCATTTTCTATATATAGTAAATTGGTTAAAGTCTCCCTGGATCATATTGCCGCTACCATTACCCTTAAAAGTTCCGTCATTATTAATACCCCTTCTACTAAATGATCCTTTTGCTCTTGAAGATTGTTGCTCTTCAAGAGTGGCACAATGAGGACAAGTCGTAGGACTCCAAATTCCAGTTTTTGCAACTTGGTCAATCATATAAAGCAATGCTGCAGGCGGATGTTGCGTAGGACCATCCATCGTACAATACAAACCCCCATTTTTCAATGATTCAACCTTTACTATAATAGAAAGGCCAATGTCAATCGTTAAATTTTTTATATGAAGTTCACGAACATAATAGTAGTGTGAAATAGTCACCATAAATGGCTTTTTGTCTTTACTCTTTTTCTTTCGCTCCACGACAACAAGACCTCCTTGTATCCTTTCAGTCTCGTAGGTGAGAAAACTTGTTTCAGTAAAACCACGGCATTCCTTATTGGACATGCTCGAGTCACAAGTTGATTCGAACAGGAAAAGATCAAAGTGTCTATCTTTCCTTAAATGGTCGAACTTTGGGGCAAAGCGAGCTACTTCAAGGTAACTGGATTCAACTTTTCTAATTATAAAATGAATCTTTAAAACTGAGGTTTTATTAGTATCACCTAGAGTGAATGATGTAGTCTTGAGATTATCACTAATCCTAAACTCGAGTTCACATCTTGACCGATTGTTTACTGTGTATGTTACCTTAGTTAAGTTATTTGGTATCTCATCATCATCATCATCATCATCATCATCTCCTTCTTCTTCTTCTTCTTCTTCATCTTCATCTTCATCTTCTATCTTTTTCTCATCTTCAACTTCATCTTCATCCTCATCTTCTTCCTCGTCTTCATCTTCTAACTTTTTCTCTTTGATCTTTATTATTTTAATGGCTACATACCTTCCTAGCATTACTTGGTATGGAAAATTCAGGCCATTGCATAAACTTCCACCAAGGGCGCTATTTCCCATTAGAATATCTGCAATAAAGAATTCAATATATTATATTGAATAAATTTGTGGGAACATGGTTTTATTGAGAAATATTTGAAATACACGCTTGAAAAATGTTTAAAGTTAAGATTTTTTAAAGTTAATAATAAGAAATTATGTGTAAGTTAATAATAAAAATTTATGTGTAATTTAATAATAAGAAGTTATTAAATAAATTACATAATAATAAAGTAAGGGTAAAAATGATAGAAAAATAAATCACACCAAAACAAAATATTAGTTTTATATATTGTATAGATGCAGGTGAAAATATCATTTTAATTCAAGCAAAAACAACCGCATCAGCAATTACTTCAAATTGTAATTGTAAATTGCAATTTAAAACTATGTACATGAGTAATTGACTACCAACATGTTGTGTATGAAACTAAAAAGTTAATAGAAAAAAACTACAAAGTAACCTGTATGGAAAATTGAAGAATCATACCTTAATTACTATAGTAAGGTCAGTAAGGATGATAATAAAAGAACCGGAAACTCTTGCTAACAAGTGCCTTCATTTTCTTTGCTATTGTATGATGTTTCTGAGGCCATATATATATAGGAAATTTATAGAGATATATAGAAATAGAAGCGTTATTCATAAGCAAGGTTCAATTATATAAATATTGTTAAAGATGGAATCTAATTCTCTTGGTCATTCATATCTTTAACACGTTCTTTTTTTCTTTTGTCTTCGAGTTTTAATTCTTCATGATGTTACTGCATGCTTCTTTTGTTAGAGTTTTAAAACTTTTTTTTTTTTTGTATATTGTTTTCCGAGTTAACATTCTTTAAATATAAAGGGCATCATCTCCTATATTTACTCCTTATAAAATATATTTTATATTTCAACGACTACTTATAAAATACTTTTTACATTGGTCTAACAACTGATTTGAAAGAAACATTTAACACCAACTCGAAACTTCAAGCTAAGTAAATTTGTGCACTCAACGAAATTTTTTTCCTTGTTTTGCAGCCAAAATTTCATAATAGCATATTTTTCATCAAAAATACGCAATTTTCAAAGGGCGGCAGTACCTATTTATTTTATTTTATAATTTTATTTATTTATTTATTTATTTATGTAATTAAATAAAAAATAGAAAGTATTAAAATATAATAATTAAATTTGAATTAAATAAATAAATTAATAATTATTATAAATAATAAATTATTTAATTATTTAATTAAAACTATATATAATTAATAAATAAAATAATAATAATAAAATAAAAGAAATAATAACTGAAATAAATATTTATTTATTTTATGAAAAAAAAAAAAGAGTACCTTAAACTCTTATCTATCTTTGATTTTGACCCGACGATGAAAGCGTTGGGAGGTTTCACTAATAGGAGTCTGTCTAATTCGGGTAGACTTTTTTTACGATTCTCATCAACATTTGTATGCTGAGTAGAAGGTCCTGCATCATTCCTAGGATTTACGAATTCAGTGACCATATTATCACACTACTAAAAATAAGACATTTGATTAACTGATTTTACATCAGATTTTAAGATATATGATATGAAAAATATTTGTCAAAGGATTTTACATCAGATTTATTAACAAAATTATGTGAAAAATATTTGATTTAAGGATTTTACATCAGATTTATTAACAAAATTATGTGAAAAATATTTGATTTAAGGATTTTACATCAGACATATATTTCCACTGATGTGAAAAATAACGCGGTGGTAGTTTCGTAAATAATAAGAAATTTGTTATAAAGGATTTCACATTAGTCTTGTATTTGCAACCGATGTGAAAAGTTCACTCATAAAAAAAAACAAGGTGGCAGTTTCGTAAATAATGTGAAGATTTGTTATAAAGGATTTTACATCGGGTCATCATTCCAACCGATGTAAAAAGTTCTCAATGAAAATATAAATAAATATGGATTAAACATTTGACATCACTCCATTCAATACAACCGTTGTAAAAGGTCTCGTGAAGGATTTTACATCGGTCCATTAATTGCAACCGATGTAAAAAGTGTCAGACCTTTAATGGATTTCACATCGGGCCATTAACAGGAACCGATGTAAAAAGTTTTATGTTAACGAATTTTACATCGGCCCACATGCCAACCGATGTAAAATCTTCCTTAAAATCTGAAACCCTATCCAAAAACATAACATTCTCAAAAACCCAAAAATCCAACATTTCTTCTTTGCTTCATTCCCTCAAACGCAACATCGACCATTTTTTCTCTCAAACCTTTAAATGCAGCATCGACCATCGTGTATCTTCTTCTTCCACCGTCGCCATCAACCGTCACCTACGAAACCAACTTCTTCTTCCACCGTCGCCATCAACCATCAACTGCAAAACCAACTTCTTCTTCCACCGTCGCCATCAACCGTCACCGTTGGATCTCCCTCCGCAATTTTCGGTCACCGTCGGATCTCCATCCGCCATTTTCCGTCGCCATCGAAACTCCTCCGCCTTTTTCGTCGCCATCGAAACTCCCTCCGCCATTCTTCGCGAGCTCCTAAAAGGTTAGAGTCTTCCTTTCATAAATTCTTTAGTTTAAACTTTGAAAAGTAAAATGACCAACTTTGTGGAAATTTAGCTTTTCCTTCTCTCCCGAACTTTGAATCTCATTTAATTTCTTGAAGGAAATTGAGTTTATAGTTACTGTAAAATTGAATTTCTGTAACATTGATACTTTTTATCCACAAAAATTGCAGTTGCCTTAAGGTTCGTTGGACGCCACGTCGAAAAGCTCGCAGGAATCTCTAATTTCATCAGGTTGGTTTCCGATCACTTTCTTCAATATTGACTACGTATATGCGTGGTGTCTATATATATTTCCCCTTTGAATCTCATTATAATATTTCTTGAAGGAAATTGGGTGTAGATTTAGAGTTAAAATATAAAGTCTAATATGGATGTAGAGTTAGAGTTAATATCTTTAAAGAGTTAGATTCAAATTGCTTGTTCATAATATTTCTATTGGACACATTGGAACTTGAAAAAATATTAAAGAGTTTGATTCAAATTGCTTGTTCATAATATTTCTTTACTATTAATATTTCCTTACTCCTTAGTCCTTTTGGAAGATGAAATTAAATAAATTTTGGGTGAGTCTTGAAGATAAAAATGTCAAATAATTTTGATGTCAACTTGGTTCTATTTGGGTTTAAATTGAGTAATAGAATTTTTATGATAATACCATTTTGTTAGGAATAATTTTTATGATTTAATTTAATGCCACGTGTTTGCACGTAGAGACTTTTGTTCTCTCTAATGTGTCAAAAAGAGGGACTATTGTAGGCGTCCCAATGATTTAACTCTGTAAGTGTTAATTTCGGAACATAGATATGGATCGTAGTTGGATGAGATCTAATTGATTAAGTGCTGAGTACGAACATGGAGTGATGGAATTTCTACAGTTTGCTAAAAGTAATGCTAAAAAAAATATTCCTCCTCCTAAAAGTAATGCAGAAAAAAGTCATCATGTGCTTTTTCTCTGTTCATGTGTTTGTTGTGCAAATCAAAAACCAAAACTTAATAAGAAATAAATTATGGATCATCTAATTTGTGAAGGGATTTGTCAAAGTTATACACGATGGATATGGCACGGTGAAGTAGTAGAAAACTCAAATGTGTCCCAAAGAGATAATGTTAGTGTAGAAATGGATGATCGTCTGGAAGAGATGATGCATGATATTGGACAAGATTCATTTAAGAGGGCACATGCGTAGGATACTTTATGCAGTGACAAGGATAAACCTTTGTACCCAGGATGCACAAATTTTACACGTTTATCAGCCGTGTTAAAATTGTTTAATTTGAAGGAAAATAATGAATAAAATGACAAAAGTTTTACCGAATTGCTTGAATTATTGACACAAATGCTTCCAGAAGGTAACATAATTCCAAATCGTTATTACGAGGCGAAGAAATTATTGTGTCCGATGAGTTTGGGGTATGAAAGGATACATGCATTACATATTATACAGAAAAGAGTATGTAAACTATAATTGTCCAAAGTGTAAGGTGTCACGCTACCAAAAGAAAGATGGTGATTCTAATGATGATGAGGTGGTCAAAAAGGATCCTCCCACAAAAGTATTATGGCACCTACCAATAATTTCAAGGTTCAAGAGATTATTCGCTAATGAAAATGACGCAAAGAATCTTAGATGGCATGCAGAAGAAAGAAAATGTGATGGACAAATTCGCCATGTAGCTGATTCTTTGCAATGGAAGAAAATAGATTCTTTATTTCCAAATTTTGGCAAAGAGTCGAGAAACCTTTGACTTGGAATTTCTAATGATGGAATGAATTCGTTTGGTAATCTAAGTACTAACCATACTTCTTGGCCTGTTCTTCTGATAATTTACAACCTATCTCCTAGGTTGTGCATGAAGTGTAAATATATTATATTATCGATGATAATTTCGGGCCCAAAACAACCAGGAAATGACATAGACGTTTATCTAAGTCCACTGATTGATGATTTAAGAGTGTTATGGGAGGAAGGGGTGGATGTTTTTTATGCATATTCTGGTGAACATTTTAATATGTGGGCCATGTTATTTTTCACCATCAACGATTGTTCGGCATATGGCAATTTGTCTGGGTATAAATTTAAGGGGCATAAATTGTGTCCTATATGTGAAAAAGACACATGTTACCATCAACTTCAAAAAGGAAAGAATATTGTTTATCTTGGGCATTGAAAATTTCTAAATCGTTATCATCCATATTGTAGATAGCGAAAAGCTTCCAATGGGGAACAAAAGCATGATGTTGCTCCAAAGTCCTTAACTGGAAAGGTACTTTATCAACGACAATAGGGCATTAATGTTGTCTTTGGTACCAAAAGCAAACTACTGTGAAAAATATATGGAAAAAAAGGTTGATTTTTTTCGATCTTTCATATTAGTCTAGTCTTGATGTAAGATATTGTATTCATGTGATGCACGTGGAAAAAAATGTATGTGATAGTTTAATCAGA